TGAGCGTAGCTTTTCGAGACAAGTTTTCGTTTGTTAATTGATAAATTTTTGAGTGAAATACAGCATCCTCAAGTCTCCATACTAGCCAGTACTAGCTGGGAGTAAATTCACTATATATATCAATAAAGCCACATTCTCAGCATCATTTATTAAGTAGTTGCCAACCTATTATGCTTCTGCTATAACCTTTTTATGTTTAGCTTTCAATTGAAACAAGAACGATTTCACCTGCGATTCGGTAGGGAAGATTGAAGCATCACGATAGTCAGCAGTAGGATGAGCAGACAGGAACAATTTTAAAGCAGCTACAGACATAATATTGTGTTCGGCTTGCTGCGCAATATCTACCAAGGTGGTTCTAAACGGTTCCTGGATACCTCTGCGTGTCATTTGGAGACTTCCATGCTTCTTGGCCTCCCAGTGGCACAATGGTATGTCTGCGGACTTACAACGCTAGAAACCGGGTTTCGATACCCGTGGTGGGCAGAACACAGATAGCCCATTGTGTAGCTTTGTGCTTATCTTCAAACAAACAAACCATGACGGATTTCAGTCACATCACCATTTCAAATCACTTTTCGCAGCCCCAATATTAAATGATGTGCGGGAAATGCATTATTTTTAACCAGTAAAAATGTCCAATAAATTTCAGTTCAAATTAAGAAAAACCAGATTAGGTAGTTATATTTTTTCAACAAAAATGCCTCCCACTGGCTCGTGAGGGGCCTGTTAAAATTTCGCAAACAATTTTAATATTATTACAAAACCATAAATATTCTTTGTTAAGTCTAGGTATATCACTACATATATTAAATATATTAATGAGTTATAAACAGGGGGGGATCATGTAGTTAATTAATTTCTTTTGGAGGAGGAGGAAGGGGGTTATAGGCAGCTAAAAACATTTATTATCAGTGGGGGATTAATAATAATAATAAGGGATGTTTTTAGATGAGTTATAAACAAGGGGATCATGCGGTTAATTAATTTCTTTTGGAGGAGAAGGGAGGGGTTGACAGACAGAAAAAAACGCATTTATTATCAGTGGTGGATTAACAATAATAAGAGGGGTTTTTAGGTTTCATGTTATTAAATTTCAGTTATTACTTTACTTAACTTATTGGTATCTAATAAATACAAATATGTTGAACATATTTAATCAAATGTTTATATGTGGATCATTAAAAGAGCGTGGAAAGCATTTGGGGAAGGGATTCTCGTTTATAATCGTGGAAGCTGTTTTATTAGTTACTGTTGCTTAGCGACTCCTCATCAAAATTGATAGCGCACACGGATACCGTGATAATTAATCATTGTACCGGGCAGTCATTAGTAGGGTTTATAGAGACAACGTTAGTGTGTTCAGATTCTTACACCACTGTCCATTTGTACGTCTACCTACGGTTATAATTGTAATTGTAATCTACTTATTTCACCAAAACGCAATTCTATTTACGAACATAAAAAACCCTGTTTCAATTGATAAGATATTTCATATTCGGACGTTTTGATATGTATATATATAATACAATCTGGTTCCACTTCATACATTGTTGTGATACATTGTTTTTATTAACTTTTTACAACGCTAGAAACCGGGTTTCGATACCCGTGGTGGGCAGAGCACAGATAGCCCATTGTGTAGCTTTGTGCTTAATTCCAAAACAAACAAACAATCTTTACGTTTTTATATTATTCACCAGATCGTCATCAGTTGGAATGCTTACGTTTCAAAAAAAAAATCAGTAAAAAAATGAAAAGAAAGGTAGATAAAGTGGTCACCAAATTCATAACATGAAGTAATGTGGCATGGTCTGGCAGTTAGGGGGCGCTCGACTCGCAATCTGCTGGTCGAGGGATCGAATTCTGTCACCGAATATGGTAGCCTTTCGGATTTTGAGGCGTGTGACATTTCTTTGGTAAAAGAATAGCTTAAGAGTTGGCGGTGGGTGGTGTTGAATAGCTGCCTTCTCTATAGTATATATTATATAACCTCTAAATTAGAAACGGCTAGCGCAGATAGCCTTCGAATAGCTTTGTGCGAAATTCAAAAACACTCGACCACCTTGACGGTCTGTGGAATTTCACGGAAACGAACAAACAGACAAACAAAACCTGAAAGCATATTCTCATATAAATCTTAATGTAATGGTTTTTCGTTGTACTTGCATTTTAATAGTCTGCGACAGTTTAGGGAGGCAGCGATCCCTGGTGTCGAAAAGATTTAGAGACACTGATCTAATTGATTTAAATTGACAAGGATTGTGTTGTTGTTTTTTTGTAGCGGAAGTGGTTTTAGTAAGACCAGAAGAGCATCATTGTAACATGGATAGTAAACCAACTGGTTACTTGTTCTTCAAATTTTTATCCTTATTCGGATCTCTATAGATATTTACTCCAAGATAATAATACTTTTGGTATTATTGTAATAAGCTATTTTCACCCATTTATCATTCTAATTTGAAATATAAATGAAAAACCACCAGGGGGACAGAAAAATAAACAAAAACCTACTCTTCGTGAATTTTACACGAATCCTTTGAAATTGATGGTAAGATTACGGAGCCTGTATATTTTTTTTTCCAAAAGTTTTTTTTTTATATCTGGTTTAGACATTTTTAAGTTTGTACTAATGACTGTAATTTTGAAAAGTAAGTAAAAAAAATATTTAGTGTTTTAAAATAAGAAAATTAAAAGATAAGAGTTTTAATTTCTCAAAAAGACAAAATCATTTTAAACCTCACTTGAAAAAGTAATATATTCAGTAGTTAATATTAACGCTTACAATAACACGCATTTCTTTATTTCAAGTTAATCAATAATCTTTAAATTTACATGATTTGTAAAACGACTTTTTGTTATTCTGCACCTTTTAAACAAAATCAATAAGTTTTCGAAAATATAAATAAATAAATATTCTTCGAGATAGCTACTAGCGTTTCTTGTAAATTTTAGGTTTTGTTGGAGCTTCCCAGTTAAAGGCAAAAATCACCAATAAAGGCGCGTGCAAGTCGTTTTGGCGGGCAGAAAAAAGGCTTAGGTAAGTGTATGTTTAAATGTTAATATGAGAAAATATCCTGTGGTTCCCTCAAGTATTAGCTTACCATGTTAGCACCACATATCAACAATATTTTAAGATTATCAGTTGTTTCTATGGTGATAATTTCCTAAGGATTTCCTTAGAAGATAAATTAGAAGTTTTTTTTTTTTTTCACTTGTTATTAAATATTAATATCTACATTTTTATAGCAGGTAAAAAGAGTCACGTACCAGGTGTTTCAAAAGTCACTTCCGCTGTTCAGATGACTACTTACAAGAAACGGATGAGTGCTGTGTTGTGAAGTTTGGTCTATTTGACCACGTGGAAGACAAATTATACAGTCATGTGGTGTTATAATGACATCAATATAACATCGTATAGTGTTCTAATGACATCAATATAACACCGTGTGATGTTATAATGACATCAATATAACATCGTTTGGTGTTATAATGTCATCGATATAACACCATATGGTGTTATAATGACATCAATACAACATCGTATGGTGTTATAATGACATCAATAAAACATCGTTTGGTGTTATAATGTCATCGATATAACACCATGTGGTGTTATAATGACATCAATACAACATCGTATGGTGTTATAATGACATCAATATAACATCGTATGGTGTTATAATGACATCAGTATAACATCATGTGGTATTACAATGGCATAATGGTCACACCGTATGGTGTTATCATGACATCGTGATCACACCATATGGTTCCTATGTGTATAAAAGCCACCATACAAAATCGTACTTGTATTTAAATCACATTTTGTAAGTCTGATACATTATTATTATTTCACGATTCAGTTTTTATCATATTTCCACTATTATCTTGAATTACATAACGTATACGAACTCGAGTCAAGCCACATCATATTTGAAGGAACTCTTGTACTAGGCATCAAGAAATACGTTTTCTTCTGCCTTCTTCCCGTATTTTCGTCTGTGATCGTGTATTATATACTCTAAATTTGTCCGTATTGTTGAGAACCGTATAGCTTCTTTTTCAATCACACAAAACTCGGAATATTGATGACAGCTGTTGAAAAAAGAATCATGAGTCAAGAATAGTCAGTGTATGAGTAAACATAGCCAATGATAGCCGTTGAAATAAGAATCGTGAGTCAAGAATAGTCAGTGTATGAGTAAACATAGCCAATGACAGCCGTTCAAAGAAGAATCGTGAGTCAAGAATAGTCAGTGTATGAGTAAACATAGCCAATGACAGCCGTTC